AGAAATAAGTTGAACGGATTGTTTATTGTAGATTCTAACTTATTTATTTCTTATCTTCTTTACACACAGTGAGGTAGATTCCTTTTTTATCCCGTCTAAGTGTAATATTGACATTTTCGAAGTGCTATCAATTTTATAACCTGCATAACCTTTCTACTACACTTCTTCCGAATTCATTCTTCTTCCATCGCTTCCAGTTATCAATAGTCCACTGTCAATATTCTAACGCAGCAAATAAGTTGAATTATTTAATGAAATCAAATGTCAGCTGTTCGTTTTCCCGATTTACGTATGCAATTTCGTCGTAAGGTGGCTTTCCAACTCTACAATGAGCGTGAACTCGATAAAAATTTTACGAGCGTATATGTTCATATCGCGATACCATAGCTCACTTCGTTTCGTATTTCGCAGCTTCGAGAAATTTCATTTAAACAACCGTTTCTCGCTCGATAATAAATTTTTTAAACTTATGCAATGGCTTTTGTGTTTCATTGGAAAGTCGAGGCACGAATCGGTCGTTTTACCTCCGACCACCTTCGTTTCATTAATATTTGCATTTCCTGGCTTGCACAAAACAACGTCAACGTGCAACGACTCTGTTAGATGCAAGCAGGCTTGTTTGTACGGTAGAAAACGTCGCTTGAATAGGCGATGCTCGATGTATTTAACTTGGTCTGTCGAATCCAGATAAGACCAGCTTACGGCGCCAATAACAACGTTCAAATTGTTTTAACAAATCGTATGGCGCCTGCGAAATCGTTTCGTAGCCACTAAACGATTAACATGATTTCAGTGGTCAGGGCCGATCATAACCTGTCAGTGTAATTCCGCTGATCAAGTAATAATCATTGATAATCAATTATCGCTGATTAATCGCGTTGGACAGGCGGGCCTGTATAAATAAAGATATATTCACGCTTAATGATTGCTGTATCAATCACAATGTTAATTATCCCCGGAAATGATCACCTTTTACACGTGTTCGTTGCACCATATGAATTTTTATCGAAGTAGTTTCAAACGTTCGTTAATCGATATATCGTAACCTCGATATTTTCTCTGTCACACGAAATTTTATTAACACGAATACGATGTCGCATATTAATTTCTCCAGATATTAATATAAAAATCTTTACTTCATTTTATTTTTTATTTCATAAAATTTTCTTCATTTTATTTTTTTTTTTTTACGGTATTAACAAATTCTTTCCATTCTAGGAACGACGGAAATTAATTTTTGCATTTATTTAAGGGATCAGGTATGGAATCAGAAACAAACGAGTAATTTCTAAATTTATTAATTCTCTTATTTATATTTGTTATCGTTCTTGCACATTTATTAGAAATTATTAGGAAAATGATCTAAGCAGAAAGATTCGAGTAACCAGCGAATCGAGATAGAACAGACCGTGCCATTCCATTATCTTAGGACATTAGAGCGAGTTTGGAGAAGAGATATTTTACGCGGAACACGTTCCATTCGGGAAGAGTCCGTGATGCAAGATAGTAAAATTTACGCGAACTGTTAGACCGCGGGAAATCAACGCGTTCGCCGAAGGCCGGGAATCACCGGAAGAGAGAGAATAAAACTGCAGCCGCCTGAGCCAGCGTCTCTGGAAAATCAGCCGAGCTATTGACGATTGGCATACAGACTGCGCCGATCCTAGTAGTAAATTACAGGAAGTATCGCAGGCTCCTGATATTTAAAATGACGCCTGTACGGATCAGCGATTCCGTATTTAAAACCGGATGACCTTCGCGGAACGAGAGAGACGAAGAGAAAGGAAGAACTGCCAAGGAACGGGATTCGTTGACTAACCTCCGGCCATGAAGCCTTCGTTTCTTTTCTTTTCTCGAATTGAAGGTGTCGTTTTCCTTATTCGCGATCGCGTCTTAGTTCCGGACATTTTAGCAGGTTCAACGATTTCCGATCGACTAATAGACAAATTCTGACGCCAAGTGTATTGCATAATATTGCTCGCGAAACACGTCTCACGTTAGTATCCATTTCTGTTTCTGTCACGAGCTGTATTACTTACAATTGTTCATTATTCATAAATTCGTTTGAATTTCAGATTCCAATGTAACTGGCGAGAAATGGAAGATTTGAGGAGGTTGAATACAAAATAGCGCAGGTCTGCATGTTTCGAGCTCCCTTTGTCTCGATCTGGAGAGATTCTTTGTTCGACATTTTGTACCAATTGTTATCTCATCCGGATTATTACCTCTTTTATCGCGGCGTAGGTTCTAGAATGCCTGCCAGTGATTTCATCGTCCAAAAACGACCATGACTGTGCTCTTTCCGCGCGAACAAATGGAGTGGGAATACTTGCAAATGTCAATCTTGTTACTTAGCGTCGATTTTCTATTTGTTGGCAATGCCGTTACCGTACCAAATGGTACCGAGACTAATCTCTCGGGAGACAGGTTAGACGCAATTTCGATGAGCGTTTTGTCTAGATAACGAGAAGTTTGCCGTGTGATTTACGACTTTAAATGTAACGCCCACTTTGTTTGTTGAGAGGCAAACAAGGATGTTCCATCAACTTGAGTAGAGATGCAGAATCAATCTTTGTTCTTGGTTGAACATCTCGTTTGAAGAACCTCTTAATTAAGGATCGTATACATTAAAGGGGCTCGCGAAATTGTTTCGTTCCAAGTTGAAATTGTTTTTCTGCAATTACAATAAGGAAGAGGGAATTTATAGATTGACTGCTTAATCTTGTAGAATTTTATGTGACTCGGAAGTTGTATACCCGTCCTCGTATATTTTACAGAGTTCAGTTTATGATCATCGTATTACTGTATTTTATTATCCTATTATATTGGTAGGAAATAGACTATTTATAATAGTTATCAGTTCCTCATTCTCGGATCTAAGTGAGAAACTGTAACTGGCTTCAATTTGTTCGTCGCATGTGCAAACAAAATTCTGGTTATAGGGGGTTAAGTTAATTCAAACAAAAGTACAAGCTTATCGTACATCGGTTCTACTCTATCTATACAAGTTTAACGAACGATTTCATCTCACGATAAACGACTTCCTCCAGGATTTTCTACAAATGATCGTGTAGAATATTTCGCAGAGAGTGAGAGAGAAAGGGGGAGAAAAAGGAGAGGCAATAACATATATCTTATCTCATTCGGAATAGCGCAGATCAAACATTAGGGCGATACTTTATCCACGTCGCATTACGTGACGCCTCACAGGTAAAATCTTCACGTTGTTCTGCGAGTTTTGAGCTTATTGTTTTCGTCGAGGTCTGACCCCCTTAAACACTCCTCATCGAAGCAATTACACATCTCGCTGCGGAGAAGTTACACTTCCAGTAATTAACAGACTTCTTCGTGCGACAGTAATAGGTGTGTAAATATTGACACGTTTTACAGTGCACGTTCAGTAAATCGTCGCGGTATACTTGATACGGAGTTGTCTCAAACGAG